GCCTCGAACTCATGGAGGTCCTCCTGCCTCTGCCTCCCACGGAGTGCTGGGATGACAGGTGTGTCCGCGACACGCCCGGTGACTAATTCTGCTGCCGAGAGCGAGCGCTTTTAGGCTACTAAGCCAGTGTTCGCTGTTTTCCACAAGGAAGTTAGTTTTATTCTACGAAAGCTGCAGTAGCTCTGATCCCAATGAGTGACGGCAGCCAGCAGCTCTGTGGAGGCTTCCGAAACACCCACCCACGGACAGAGCATTCAGGGCCTGGGTGCGGAGCAGACCTCACCCGGGTGCTCCAGGGAGAGCCCCAGCGCTCTCGTTATCCCGGGGGTGAAGCCAGGGGCTCCTCAGTTGCAGCCCCCACCCTGCCCACCGTTTTTGAGACAGGGTCCCGCTGAGCTGCCCAGGCTGACCTCAAACTTGCGCTCTTCCTGCCTCGGCTTCCCCTCTGGTTGGAAGTAAAATTCTCCGAAAGCTCACCGTGCACGCTTTCAAAGTGAGCAGTCACCCACCCGGCACCGAGGGGTTGTGTGACCCTCACCTGTGTCGTTTGCAGATGCTGTCATCACCCCGAAAGGAGACGCACACCACGAGTGGTGCCCCCGGACCCAGGACAGTGACCCACCCCGTCCCCGCGGATTCCCAGGCTGTGCACGGCCCGTGTCATTGGAGCCGGTGGATTCCTGGACAGCGGATCTGTGTAAGTGTAGGTCCACCTTCAAAGCTTGACCCCAACAGGGAGCTTGAGTGCACACAAGTGTACTCCAAGAGACTTGGGAGGCTGAGGCAGGAGGGTCTCTTGAGCACAGGAGGTAAAGCACTAAGACTCCTACGCTCCCAACCCCCAAAAACCCCGCCTCTGTTTTCACACACCGTCTAATTACTTAGCATGTGAACAAACACATACATTCTCCTTTATCACAAAATATTTTCACTTTTTAAAAAAATTGTACTGGGGATTAAACTCAGGACCTTCACACTGAGCTGAACCCCGGCCCCTTTTCAGTTTTCATTTTGAGGCAGGGTCTCACTAAATTGCCCAGGTTGGGGCTGGGGATTTAGCTCAGCGGCAAAAGCGTCTGCCTGGCAAGCGCAAGGTCGTGAGTTCGGTTCCCAGTACCGGAGAAAAACCGGAAAAAAAAAAAAAAATAAATTGCCCAGGTTGGGCTTGAACTTGAGATCCTCCTGCCTCAGCCTCCTAAAGTGCTGGGATTACAAGAGTGCACCACCACACCTGACATTTTATGAGCCATGGTTCAATGAAAGTTGTCCCGTTCAGTATCAGTGTGGGAGCAGGTCCACCCCCTCAGCCACGGACACCGAAATCCAGACGCTGAAGTCCCTGCGTGAAGTGGGGCCGTCCTTTCATACAACCTATGCACACCCCCTGGTGTGGAATATAAGTCATCTGTAGGTGACCTAATAATGCCTAATAAAAACCAAATAATGAAGCCAGGCGTGGTGGCGGACCCCTGTAATCCCAGCACTCGGGAGGCTGAGGCAGGACGATCATTGAGTGCTTGAGAGCAGCCTGGGCTACAAAGTGAGCTGAAGGCCAGCCTGACCTGCAGAGCGCGACCCTGTCTCAGAAAGACCACTCTACCTCAGCTTAAGGTTTCTGCGTTTGCTTCTGCTTGTGCTTTTTTGAGACAGGGTCTCAGTACGCAGTCCAGGCTGGCCTTGATCTCACTATGTAGCCAGGCTGGCCCCGAACTTGAAGCGATCCTCCTGCCTCAGCCTCCCGAGTGATGGGATGAGAGTTTAACTTTTAGACTGGAAAGACGCTAACCATATGTTTTTCCTGCTGCCTGCCAATTTTGCTTGTCCCGTGGCCCCGCGCAGCGCCGCCCGTGAGACGGGGACTGACGTCGAGCTACCCGCCGGCAGCGGGCCGGTGTTCCCAGTGCGTGGAGCGTGAAGGGAACCCAGGTCTAGCCGAGTGCCGGCCGGCCGTGCACCTCAGAGCTGCCCACCCCGCCCGCGGAAGGGTCAGCCCCGCAGAGCCTCACCAGGCCGACAGCCTGCGCCACAACCAGCCTGAGGCCCCCGCGATGACCCAGGGCGCCCAGACACCCCGCCGGCCTCGCCCGGCCCCTGCGCCCCACCTGGGAGACCATGAAGCCGTGTGCGCAGTCGCAGAGCGCCTGGTAGGCACGGTCCTCCGCGGAGCCCATGTCCGCCTCAGCTCCCGGGCCGCGTCCGGGCCGAGCTCTCCCGTGCTGGGGACAGCCGCCAGGGCCACCGGGCAAGATGCACGGGCCTGGGAAATTCCCTGGGTTTATGAAGGGCCCCCACCCCGCAGGACTCCGGCTTGCACCCCGCCTCTGCCGCATGTGACACGCAGCGCCCGTTAATCAGGGCGCAGATTACCCCGGCTCTGGCCTCCTGCGGAGGGGCTGGGGGGAAGGGGGCGGGGTGAGCTCATTTTGCGGCTCCCAGGACAAATGAACAGGAACTGGAGGGCATCGCAGTGGGGAGACCCTCCTGCCTCTGCCTCCTCCACAGGCTCCCGGGGAGACCCTCCTGCCTCTGCCTCCTCCTGGGGGTCCAGCTTCTCTCTGTGTTCCCTCCTGTCTCTCACGAGGTCGGCTGTGATGTGCTCACCTCCGAGTGTCTGTGCTGGTATCACTGGGGTCTTGTGGTCGGGCGCTGCTACCAAGCCAGTCCCTCGCCCGCGGTGTGGCACCTGTGACCCCGTTTTGTGAGGGTGGGTGCATTCCCGCTCTGACCCCCGGTGTGCGGGTAGGGACGGTGGGGGCGGATTTCACCCCGTTGCCCGACCTCGTTTCGGCTGCAGCGTGGAGAAGCGGGCAGGCGGGATTAACCCGCAGGGCCGCCCGCTGCGCCCGCTGAGCTGCTCCTGCGAGCGACGTCAGGGCCCCACGTCAGTCACTAAGTCTCCCCGATCCTGGCTCCCGTTCCTCGCCCGAGACCGCGACTCGAGCTCCGGGGGGCGGGCGCTCCCGGGCACACGTCCACCTCCCTATCGCCCTGAGCCCACCCCGGCCCGGGCCTGTGCTGGGGAAGACGTCTGAGCCCACCTGGGCCCCAGCGCAAGGCCCGCGGCCAGCCGGGGCCCGTGTCCTGAGAACCGCGGCACCGAGCCCACACCACGATTGTGCTGGCTGCGGGAGGCCGCCTGCGCCGGGGCTGCCCAGGAACGAAATGCTCGGACCGCTCCGCACACGGCTCGCGGGCTCCGAGCGCTTCCTGGACCCCCAGCTGTGCCGCCCGGGAAGCAGTCGCCTATGTGTCTGCGTCTGTCTGTGGCTGTGTGTCTGTCTGTATCTTTTTCTTTTCTGTCTTTCTGAGGCGGTCTCGCTATGCAGTTCAGGCTGCCCTGAGTTCACTTTGTACCCAAGCCGGTCTCCAACTCCCAAGGATCCTCCTGCCTCAGCCTACTGAGCGCTGGGCTTACAGGCCTGCGCCCCCACGCCCGGCGTCTCTGTGTGTGTCTGGGTCCGTCTCCGGGTGTGTGCATGTGTACATCTGTCTGTGTGTCTGTGTGTCTGTCTGTCTCGCAGCCAGGCCCCGTCCCACCGCGGGCTGCAGGGCCGCTGTCTCCCACGCCCCAGGCCGGGGACCGCACACAGAAGCAGAGCGTGCACAGACGAGGCCGCGTGCTCAGTTCATTGGAAAAAGTTTATTTTGCCGTAAAAATGCAACCCAGGACCGACACCAGCTCCACGAGCACAGCCACACGCGCAGCGGTCTGCCCGCCCCTCCCGAGACGGCGACGGACCCGCACGGCTGTGCCGGGTCCCGCGGTCACCCCAGGCCAAGCGGCTCCTCGCACCCAGCACGCGAGCTCACAAGAAGCGCGCGCGCGGTCCGCCGTCCTCGGTCCCAGGAAGGCAGCTCTGGAGATCAGGGCGCTCACAGCCCGGGCACTGAGGGCCGGACCCACCGAGCGCCGCCTCGTACCCGGCCCAGCTGCGGCCGCTGCGCCCCACTGCCCCTCCGGCCGGCGAAATCACAAAAGCAAAGACTGAACGAACGGAACAAGCCGGGAGCGGAGCCCCGCGGAGCTGGACAGGGCCCGCGGTGAGGCGACACAGGCCGGGCTCCAGGCGTCACGGGCGCGGCTCAGGGTCCGCGCTGCCGTCTCCCGCTCCTCGCCAGGGCCGGGCCGCCTTCCAGCCAGGACCAGCAGCCGCGTCGAAGGGAAACGTGGCCGGGCGCGTGGGGCCGAGATGGCGCGGGTGGACGGGCCCGTCATTACCTGTTCCAGGTGCTGCGGTGGCGGCTGGCGGAGCGGGAGCGGGAGCGCGACCTCTGGCTCTGGCGGCGGTGGCGGCTGCGCTTGCGGCCCGTGCTG